TGCATTGGGTCTCTTTGCGGCGGCCCGCGATGGCGCGCGGCACTCAGATGCTGCTGCGCGGCAGTGGGGGAAAAGGGGGCGCAAGGAGGCCGGCCGAGAGTAGTCGGCCTGCGGGGCCCGCCCTCAAGCGGCGTCCGTGGGCGGCGGGGGATCCGTCTGCAGGAACACGCAGCCGCTGCAGTGGGGAGAGGGCACGTAACGAGTGCCTTGCCTGGCCGGCCGCTTGGGCGTGTTGCGGGACGTATTTCCCTCGTGCTGGCGCCCACAGGCGCGTGGGGGGGACGGCACTTGTGCGCTGGGCGTGCGCCGTGAGGAGAAGAAGGGAGGGAGGGAGGGTGGTGGTGGAGGAGCTGACGCCCGGAAGGGAGAGGGCGACCGCGCGGCTGCTCCCCTGGCGGTGCGGCATTGCCCTTTGAGCGCGGATGCATCAACCTTCGCGACGCCGCGGACGAGGCTCAGAAGAGGAGGCGGGATGACTTATTCTTCAATCGTTTGCGAGGGCGCCGAAACGCCCTTCCGCAACTTCAATGCCGCCAGCACCGAAATAAGTGTGGGCGATGGAGGATCGTCGTGGTCTCTCTTTCTCCAGCTGCTTCTGGTCATGTAAATAAGCACTGGAACACGTGTCTCTGTGGTCGTAAGACGAATAAAGTGAGTATGCGTTGGGGCTTCCTTCCCCCACTCATCCTTTTTTCTTGTTGCTGTTGTTGTTGGGTGAGGCAGTGACTGGCTCTGGGGTATGCATGGTGGAAGGGACCTCGACGCCATTGTCAGGCCTCTGGTGAGCGTGTCGCGCGGGACCGACAAAAGTACGTAGCGGAAACGACGCACTCGACGGAGGAGGCATAAGTATGAGAAAACTCTGCCTTCCTCCTCCCGGTCGTGGATTCTACGCATTGCGCATTAGCACGCGGGGAAACAGGCGGCCGGCACATGGGCGGAAAGACGATCCGGCCCCGACTGGCCGCATTGAGCCTTGGTTTTTGCGGTGCGGCCCGCTGTGCTCTTCTCCCTCTGCGCCTCCACACACAGACGCGCCTCTGCCTGTCTGACGAACCTCGCTATCTCCCCCGCCCTCTCTCTCTTTCTCTCTCTCTCTCTCTCGCTCCACTTCTTGTTGCCACTGCAGTAAGCTAAAGCCCCTGTAAAGTGAAGCAATATTATGCGCGGAAGTGAGAGCGAGGAGAGGGCGCCTGGCGCCGTGCACCCGCTGACTTCTGCATACCCCGACGAAATCGCACACCCCAATGACGACGCACAACCCAGTGAAGTCGCACACCCCAATGGCAACGGCACCTCCCCGGTGAATCTCTCGAATAACAATGAGAGCTACAACGACAAAACGAAGGAGGGAAATGCGCTGCAGGAGGGCGAGGCACAGGCTCCCACAGGCTTCCTTGCGAAGCTGAGCGCGTGTGTGGACGTCGTCATTCCTCCCGGCGGAATCCTCGCGAGCGCCTTCAACCTCGCGTCGTCGTCGATCGGGGCCGGCATCCTCGGCCTGCCCCTGGCGACGAACAGCAGTGGGCTCGTGATGGCCATCTTGTACCTCGCCGTCATCACGTTCCTCACTATCTACTCGGTGTATGCCCTCGGCGTGGCGGCGCAGCGAACGCAGATCAAGAGCTACGAAGCCGTGGCGCTGGCATTGCTGGGCCGCTGGTTCACCATGTTCGTTGTCGTTGTGCGCGCCTTTCACGGGTTCAGCGCCTGCATCGCGTACGTGATCAGCGTCGGCGACATCTGGCACAACATCTTGGAGGGCAGAGATAGCGTGCCGCAGTTTCTGAAGGATAAGTCCGGCAACCGCCTGCTGACGATTGTGGTGTGGCTCTGCGCGATGCTGCCGCTGGTGATCCCGAAACACATTGACTCGCTCCGCTACTTTTCCACCTTCGCTGTCTCCTTCATCATCTACTTCGTCGTGGTGATCGTGGTGCACTCCTGCACGCACGGGCTGCAGGACAACCTCCACCGCATCAGCGTGGGCAAGGACGACGACGCCAACGTGGTGCTCTTCAACAGCGGCAACAAGGCAATTGAGGGTCTCGGCGTCTTCATTTTCGCTTATGTTTGTCAGGTCAATGCGTACGAGGTGTACTGGGATATGAAGAACCCCACGAACACGCGCTTCACACTCGCCGCCGGCATCGGTATGATGCTGTGCTTCCTGCTCTACGCCATGACCTGCTTCTTCGGCTACATGGACTTTGGCAAGGATGTGGACGGCTCCATCATGCTCATGTACAACCCACTCTCCGAGCCCGAGGTGTTGGTGGCCTACATTGGTGTGCTCTCCAAGCTATGCGCCTCCTACGCGTTGCTCTTCATGGCTGGCCGCTATGCCATCTACCACGGCATCGGTTGGGACGTGGACAAAGTACCCTACTGGAAGCACACCCTTGTTGTGACCTTTATTTCAGCTATAATACTTGTCTGTGGTTTGTTCATCCCGAAGATCCAAATTATGTTGGGCTTTGCGGGCTCGATCTCTGGCGGCTGCATCAGCTTAATTTTTCCGGCGTTCTTTGTGATGTACTCAGGTGACTGGACCTGGAAGAAAGTGGGCGCCTTCAACTACATCTGCACGTACGTGCTGCTGATTGCAGGAGTGATCGGAGTGGTGTTTGGCACTGGCGCCACCATTTACGCCACTGCCGGTGGCTAGCGAGACGATTGTACGGAGCTATTGAAGAATGCTTTCTTTTTCTTTTTTTTGCCTTTTTTTGATTTTTGTTTTTTGTTTTTTGTTTTTGTTTTTTGTTTTTTGTTTTTTCTCTGCTTTCCGTGTGTGTTGTCGTTTGCATCATTTTCTTTAGTGCTTTTGTGTGTGTGCCTGTGTGTGTGTGTTTGTGTGCTACTTTACGTTCGGGGACTGTGGCCCCGAACTGTTTGCCTGGGCGGGAGCGCGTGTGTTTTTGCAGCCGATCCGTCCGTCTTCCCGTGGACGCTTGCACCCGCAAAAGCCTGGCGAGAAGGTCGGGGCACGGCACG